ATCGCATATCGATACTAAAAATTAGTATGAAAAAGAAATCAGTTGAAGAGTAGAGTAATCGGTTAGACATAAATTCATCATGTAAATTTATCTAACTGTCAGGTTTATAATTACCTCTTTTTTGTTCATAATTTGTGCGATAACATTTCACATCTTCATATCTAAAAAAAAATAAAAAGCTCCACATTATGATTTTATCAATTAATTTATATTAAAAGAAGCATCGTAAATCTAGATAAGAGACTAACTAAAAAAGTTTTATGATTAATGTACATACTTTATATAGTAAAATATGTATGTACGTAAAAGCCTTGTGCTTGTGGCTATTATAAGTCATGTGAATATCTGATCAAAAATTGGTTTATGGGAAGAAGTTCATTTTATTTGCCAATGTAAATCAGCTCTCTGAGTAACTAATATTTTAGAATACTTTTTAAGAAGTCAAATGTTAAATACAGTACTAAAAAACTTCAATTTTTATATAAGTTTCTTCATTAAAGTGTTAGAATATTACCTTTAAAAAACTCTTTAAGATATTATATTTAAGTAGTATTAGCTTAGTAGTGATATTTTATTAAAATAGTTATATTGCAGTTTTAAAGTACTTTTTTAACATTTCACTTACAGGACCAATATTGACTATACAAAAAAATTTTATCATGACATACTTGATTAAAAGATAAACTATGTCTATTGTACTAATGAAATTATACTATAAAATGCAGAGTGAAGGTAACTAGGAACATTTTCGTCTGAAAACTTTATTATTTATTATGTTATGTTTAAATAATATTTTTTCAGCTATTTAATTTGAATAAATAAAGTTCTTTAGCAGAAAGATCTGTTTGAATGTTAAATTTGTCTGTTCTTTTAGTATGTTTAATTAGTTAATTATATATTAAAACTTTAATTATTATATATTATAAATTCTTTAATTAGTTTGGTTCTATAGTAATAAATATCACATTTACCTTACTTTACATGTATCTAAGCATTTTTTTATTAAATATGATGAATTTTTTTGTGTGTACATATTAGCTTATAGACTTCTTTATATTTTTTTTTGCTTCCTAGCATTATTAGATGATAGTTTTTTTTTAAAAAAATTATGTACTGGTAATTTGACTGGTTAATAATTACAGGAAATCACAAATAGATCTATAAAAATTAACTTTCTTCCTATGATACATATGTACAGACCAAGCTGATTTCCATAATTAATAATATTATAGATTTGATCTTGAGGCTCAAATTTTTGATAACAACTAGATATAAAACCCATTGTTAAACAACAGGTTATATATATATATATATATTTTTTTATACCTTCACAATGTCACAGAAGAGTAGATTTTTATTAGGTATTTTAGTAGTACATTCTTGGTTAGTGAGAATACATATAGCTATATGTGCAATTTTTGGTCACCTAATTTAAGTGTTCTATACTATATGCCATATCTGTAACCTAACTAAAAGATTACCTATTTAAACTATCTGACGTCCCTGGTCTAGCACCACAATCACACCAATCTATAACCTCAAGCGCTTCTTATTGAAGACCACCCAAATCGACATCTGCTATACTACTTATATTCTAATTCTATAGATAACACAGTAGAGTTCTCATACTATCAGATTGCCCTAGGGAGGATATAGTACATACTTTCTAATCTTTCTATGTCCCACGCACTTCCAGATTAGGTTACGAATACCTTCTTTAGCAGCTGAAACTACCACTAGCAATTATAGTGAATTATTAAACCGCACAATTCTAGTATCCAGTGCCCTTGCAAGGTTCATTCTGATCCCAATACCCACATCAAGCTAGTCCTTATACTGATTCTTCTCCAACCACCAAACCAGTTAGCCCAGACAGGTCGTTGTATCTAAACTTTAAGTACCTTCCGGTTTTAATTCCCTTGGTTCCTAATTCCATAGCATAGGACCTTTTCCTCTGGTGCGACTCTGGCGGCCAGGTTGGTGGACCCTTCTTGTTTCAGGATTTTCATCTGATTCTTCGACCTCCAGTTTCTGCCTTTTCCGCAGTATTATCAAAGATCTTCACTACCTCTTTACTTAGGTATTGCCAAATGGGTTTTAATTATTTCAGTTCCTTGAATTTGGATTACTCAAGAGCTTCTATTTTGAGATGGTAGTACCAAAATTACAGGTAATATACCCAACTGATTATCGAATAATTGTTACCAGAACACAGGTCTATTTTTCTAAAAACGTCTCTGGTGGGATTAAAACTCTAGATCTGCCACTTGGGGGTGACAACTTAACCACTACTCTAAGTCACCACACCCTTGACAAATTATATTTAATCGTAATTATTTAATTAATATAATTTGCTATAAAATATATTAAGTTTATATAAGTGCAGAAAAATAAAATTTTGAAAACAAAATTTAGCACCTAAAAAAATGATCACTTTAATTTTAGTAATATTATTATTGTATATTATTAAAAATATCAAAATGCAGATTTTAGGAGCTAAATTTTATTTCAGGCTTAATTCTTCTGTACTCATGTAGTAAAAGCGGTTTAAAGATCAAATGTAGTATAATTTATCTTGGCGTTTCTGAAAATTTTACTGTGAGATTAGAAAAATTAGCCACATAATGTCATAGGAGGAAATTTGTTTGATTGGCTAATATAGATCAATTATCCAGATAATTTATTTATATATACATAAACTTTAAAGTACTTTTTTTTATTATTATAGTATTAACATTAGAGAGATGGGTTAACATTTATTATACAAACGAATTCCAAGAAGATCTGAAGATCCCAAGCTAACTTTGCCCTAAGACAAAAAACACAACTATTTATTGGATCACACAAGGCTATTAGATATTAAAGGTACTAGAAATGTTTTACCAGATTGGTGTTTTACAACGTTAGAACGCTAGATCTAAGTGAACTTTCAGTGCTGACTGCCGTTTTACAACCTTAGAACATTAGATCTAAGTGAACTTTCAGTACTGACTGCTGTTTTACAATGTTGGATTGTTAATTTAAGTGAACTTTCAGTACTAATGGCTGTTTTACGTTAGATTATTAGATCTAAGTAAACTTTCAGTACTGATTGCTGTTTACAATGCTAGATCATTAGATCTAAGTAGGGATGTTAAAAAGCTCAAATATGTTTATTTGACACATATCTATAATATGCTTATTTATTACACCCCTATAATACACATATTTACCAGCCACACAATACTTAATATGTGACAAATAAGTGATATAATAAAAATAACTTGTGTGATATGTGACAAATAAGTGATATAATAAAAATAACTTGTATGATATGTGATAAATATTTGCAACAAATAATAATAAATAACTAAATATAGTCATGCCATGTAGGAATAAGAGCAGCTTGAGTTTAATCATGCACATATATACAAAATCTGTATTTATTAGTTTTTATACTAGTAACAAATAAATATATTAATACATACTATTATACAGGTTAACTTTTAGTAATAGTAAAACAGAATCATCCTGACGATAGTAATTAGTACAACCAATATTAAGGGTCAATACTTATAAGGTAATATATAATATGATCGTGAAGAACCTTCACGATTAAAGTAACAAAATTGAAATAATAATTAGAGTAGCTAGCAGTGCATGATGCTGCTCAGGACCAGTATGATTATGTATAACATGTAAATTCAAGCTATTCGAAAGTTATTAATACAGGATTTTAATACTTATCAAGCAAATAAAACTTAGAAATATAATGTAATTATGGTATAGTAAATGCTATATGCCTGAATATTATCTTTTAGGTAGTCTGGTGAAAAATTTTAATATTAAAACACATTAATATATATTGTTTGAGAAATTTAGATACGCTTTGATAACACTTACTAAATAGCTCTGGTCATATGTTGAGCACAATTATCTTGAACTGCTAAATGATACAATTATTTTGTCCCCTTTTAAACCTATCAATGCAATTTTTTTCATGTACTTATTTCACTAAACACTTATCTATTTACAATGCAATAAAGTTAATTTATTCCTCCATTCCATTTGAGCCACAGAGTGGAGATTACTACGCAAAAAACCCAAAGGTGCATATTCTAGAACGAGGACATAATCACCAGAAGAATCATTTTTTGATATTCCAAAGCACCTTAAAAATGAAGGATTTTTACTGCCAATATCACAATATGCTTTTAACTTTTGTATTATTAATATTAATAATTAGTTAAATATAAACCATTAAAATTTAAACATATTAATATGCAAATAGAATTACCTCTTCATAAATTCATCATTATACTCTTGAATTATGGAGCAATTTAAGTGCAACAGGTTGAAGAACGTTTCAGCATTTATTATACCATATAGCATAATATACTGTCCCAAATCCACCTTTCCCTTTAATTTTAATATTTTCAAATTCATTATAAGGAACCCAAAATAATGGATTTTTGCTTTCAGTCAATATTTTTTTAAATTACAATCAATATCTAAATTATCATATATTTGTCTGTTTATTGCTAATATTCAAAACATTTGACAAACAAATGTAATTAATGATAGCTAATTACTTGATATTTGTTTCTGTTCACTAACAAGAAAAAGTAATATATAATTTTATTATGACAGTATAAAAATAACTTATATCTTGTACCATTCATTAGCTTTTTGTAAGTCTTTTGTTACTCCAATTCCATTCCGATAACAATGTCCAGTATAATATATTCCAGTAGCATCTCCCATTTCAGCAGATTTTTAATAATAAATGAATGCCTTATGTTCATTTACTGTATTATTCTATTTAATCTTAAACATCAAATACAGAAGTGAAGTAGTAGTTTCGATCTAAAATAAGTATATGAAAGTTATTCCTGAGTAGTTAACTATAAACAGAATTTCGTAGCAAAGTATAATCTGCGACATAAGCAGCAGAGTATACTTTTCTGCGAAATTCCGTTTATATGTAACTACTCAGAATATAACTATTACATGCTAGACTGCTAATCATTTGTTATTCCGTTATAAAGTTTAATATTCAGTTCCTGGGCCCTTAGAAGCTGAAATAATAAATTTTCCACATAATAAATAATTTTATATAAATAATTCTCATTGTTTGCTGTTTCATATCCTAAAATCGATTCTCACCTTATATTTTACTACTACTAATAATCGTCACTGGGGCACTCGACTTCACTAGTCCTATCTACTCTTGTTGCTTTGTTCTATGTATTTAGTGTATTGTTATGATCCTATCACCTGCGATGCTATTCAGTGCTGTAGTGTGTTTAGTCTGTACGAAAACATATTTCAAATTACAATATAATCCATATAAATATAACATAACATAAATTGTAATCGATCATGTCGAAATCAATAACCTAACCGGATCGACCAAAAGACCATTCAGCAAATTTTTATAGCTGCAAGGCAGGTCACATGATTATATCAGAACTGGCTCAATTATGAGCCTACAAGCAAAATGCAATCGACTTAACTTTCAACAGAGAATATTTACAGTTAAATTTTATATTCAATCGATCAGGAACCAAGTTCACGATCAATTTGAGTTCAATCCATCTTTGATATTTTGCAATCTTGTAATTAGGTTTTGATAATTTTGGTGTTATTCGAATTATCTTATCGAGATGATTCAAATGGTACCAAAATCATCAAAACCTAATTACAAGATCGTGTGATATCAAATATTGATCAAATTCTTTATCATGAACCAAGTTCACGATCGATTTAAGTTTGATCCATCTTTGATAACTTGTGATCTTGTAAATGAGCTTTGATGATTTTGGTACCATTCGAATCATCTCGATAAGATGGATCAAACTCAAATCGATCGTGAACTTGGTTCACGATAAAGAATTTGATCTATCTTTGATATCTCGTGATCTTGTGATTAGGTTTTGATAATTTTGGTGCCATTTGAATTATCTTATCGAGATGATTCGAATGGTACCAAAATAATCGAAACCTAATCACAAGATTGCGAGATATCAAAGATGAATCAAATTCTTTATCGTGAACCAAGTTCATGATCGATTTGAGTTTGATCCATCTTTGATATTTTGTGACCTTGTGATTGGGTTTTGATGATTTTAGTACCATTTGAATTATCTTATCGAGATGATTCGAATGGTATCAAAATCATCAAAGCTCATTCACAAGATTACAAGTTATCAAAGATGGATCAAACTCAAATTGATCGTGAACTTGGTTCACGATAAAGAATTTGATCCATCTTTGATATCTCGCGATCTTGTGATTAGGTTTGATGATTTTGGTGCCATTCGAATTATCTTATTGAGATAATTCAAATGGTACCAAAATCATCAAAACCTAATCACAAGATCACGAGATATCAAAGATAGATCAAACTCAAATCGATTATGAACTTGGTTCCCGATCGATTGAATATAAAATTTAACTATAAATATTCTCTGTTGAAAGTTAAGTTGATTGCATGTTGCTTGTAGGGATAGAAACGGCTCATAATTGAGCCAGTTCGGTTATAATCATGTGACCTGCCTTACAGCTATAAAAATTTGCCAAATAGTTTTTTGGTCAAAACTAACAAGAGTAGTTAGGACTAGTGAAGTCGAGTGCCCCAGTGACGATTGTTAGAAGTAGTAAAATATAAGGTGAGAATCGATTTTAGGATACGAAACAGCAAACAATGAGTATGATTTATATAAAATTATTTATTATATGAAAATTTTATTATTTCAGCTTTTAAGGGTCCAGGAGCTAAATATTAAACTTTATATAACCAAATAATAAATAATTAGCAGTCTAGTATATAATAGTTATATTCTGAGTAGTTACATATAAACAGAATTTCGCAGAAAAGTATACTCTGCTGCTTATGCCACAGATTATACTTTGCTATGAAATTCTGTTTATAGTCAACTACTCAGGAATAACTTTCATATACTTATTTTGGAACGAAACCACTACTTCACTCCCGTATTTGATGTTTAGAATAATACAGTAGATGAACATAAGGCATTCATTTATTATCAAAAATCTGCTGAAATGAGAGATACTACTGGAATATATTATACTGGATATTGTTATTGAAATGGAATTGGAGTAACAAGAGACTTACAAAAAGCTAATAAATAGTACCAGATGTAAGTTATTTTTATACTGTCATAATAAAATTATATATTTCTTTTTATTGTCAGTGAACAGAAACAAATATCTATCATTGATTACATTTGTTTGTCTAATGTTTGGAATATAATGATAATAATTTAATTTTGATTAGCAATAAACAGGCAAATATATGATAATTTAGATATTGATTGTAATTTAAAAAACAATATTAACTGAAGCAAAGATCCATTATTTTGAGTTCCTTATAATGAATTTGAAAATATTAAAATTAAAGGGAAAGGCGGATTGGTGACAGCATATCATACTGTGTGGTATAATAAATGCTGATACATTCTCCAGCCCGTTGCACTTAAATTGCTCCATAAATCAAAAGAGTATAATGATGAATTTATAAAAAGGTAATTCTATTTGCGTGTTAATATGCTTAAATTTTAATGATTTATATTTGACTAATTATTAATATTATTAATACAAAAGTTAAAAGCATATTGTGATATTGACAGTAAAAATTCTTCATTTTTAAGGTGCTTCAGAATATCAAAAAATGATTCTTCTGGTGATTATATCCTCGTTCTAGAATATGCACCTTTGGGTTCTTTGTGTGGTAATCTCCACTTTGTGGCTCAAATAGAATGGAGGAATAAATTAACTTTATTGCATTGTAAATAGATAAGTGTTTAGTAGAATAAGTACGTAAAAAAAATTATATTGATAGATTTAAAAGGGAACAAAATAATCGTATCATTTAGCAGTTCAAGATAATTGTGCTCAACATATGACCAGAGCTATTTAGTAAGTGTTATCAAAGCATATTTAAATTTCTCAAACAATATATATTAATGTGTTTTAACATTAAAATTTTTCACCAGACTACTAAAAGATAATATTCGGACATATAGTATTTACTATACTATAATTACATTACATTTCTAAGTTTTATTTACTTGATAAGTATTAAAATCCTGTATCAATAACTTTCGAATAGCCTGAATTTACATGTTATATATGATTAAATACTTTGATTAATTATATATTTTCTTAAAAAACAAATATTAAAGTAAATAAATTAAATATAATATTTATCTTTATTATTTATATGTTTTATTTAAAACATAAGTATCAAAGTAAGTAGAATTAAACTTTCTCAACCTAGTAATTTATTAACAAATTAAATAATTATATTTAATATATTCTCTTAAACCCAAATATTAAAGTAAACAAAATCAAACTTCATACTCACACTGGTAATTTATTGAACGATCAAATGATTACAGTTATTTACACATTCTCTTGAAACACAAACATTAAAACAAACAGAATCAAACTTCATACTCACACTGGTAATTTATTAAATGATCAAATGATTACGGTTAATCACACATTCTCTTGAAACACAAACGTTAAAGCGAACAGAATCAAACTTCATACTCACACTGGTAATTTATTGAACGATCAAACGATTACGGTTAATCATACATTTTCTTGAAACACAAATGTTAAAACGAACAGAATCAAACTTCATACTCACACTGGTAATTTATTGAACGATTAAATGATTACGGCTAATCACAGATTCTCTTGAACCACAAATGTTAAAGCAAACAGAATCAAACTTTCATATTCACCCTGGTAATGTATTGAACGATCCAATGATTAGGTTAATCACACATTCTCTTGAAACACAAACGTTAAAGCGAACAGAATAAAACTTCATATTCACCCTGGTAATGTATTGAACGATCCAATGATTAGGTTAATCACACATTCTCTTGAAACACAAACGTTAAAGCGAACAGAATCAAACTTCATACTCACACTGGTAATGTATTGAACGATTAAATGATTACGGTTAATCACACATTCTCTTGAACCACAAGCGTTAAAGCGAACAGAATCGAACTTAATACTAACCCTGGTAATGTATTGAACAATCCAATGATTAGGTTAATCACACATTCTCTTGAAACACAAACGTTAAAGCGAACAGAATAAAACTTCATACTCACCCTGGTAATGTATTGAACGATCCAATGATTAGGTTAATCACACATTCTCTTGAAACACAAACGTTAAAGTGAACAGAATCAAATTTCATACTCACGCTGGTAATGTATTAAACGATTAAATGATTACGGTTAATCACACATTCACAAAGTTAAAGTGAACTGAATCAAACTTCATACTCACACTGCACGATCAAATGATTATAGTTGTTTAATTAATGCATCATTAACGTTAAATTCTTGTGATAAACCGAAACTATATATAAGCTATCATTTCATAAATTAACTTAACACCCACGATCTAATAAATTAATTTATATAATTAGATAAGTTTTTATTAAATTGTTAATATTAGTTTAATAAATTATATGATTTCTAATCCAATACCTTGTCTTTTTCTAACTTCACTAATAGGACGACGACGCAAGACTAAAAAATAACAATTAAAAAAACTTCAGTTACTGTTTCATTTTCAAGGAAAACATCATTATTTTAACAATTTTTTTTATTTAATACCTCGTTTTTCAAGTGCCCAGGAAGGAGTAATAAGTGCCAATTGGACAATTAAAATCAAAATTGCTAAGACTTTTGCAGGTTGCATTTTCTTAAATCAAAATAAGATTTTTTTTTTTAATAGTATGCTGTTTTTTTTTTGATTTAAAAAAAAGGGAAAGAAAAACACCTTTATTATTTTGTATGAAATGGATAACGATGATTCCCAGAGGAACGCTGGGGCTATTTATACATTTTATTAAGTAACAAGTAAAAGTGCGTACATTTATATAAATATGCATTTTCAAAGCCATTATTGACTCTCCTTCACTCAGACACAAACAATAAGTTTATTTTTTAAAACCATTACCAGTAAAATTTCAAAGCCTTTGCTTAGCATAAACAATAATAATAATAACAATCTGTATATAAAAAATATACAATAATGTTAAATTCATCAGCTGAAATATCGATATCACATGGATATACAAATTTTTATAAGTGGTTTTTTTAATACCACGAAAGTATAGTTTACAGCCATCTTCGATTGGGATGTTTAATTTTGGTCTAATTTACAGTTAGGTGAAATCTCTTTTGCATATGAAAGACGAAACCTTTGGTTAATGACAAAACTCCTAAAAAACGAAACTCTATGCGAAAGGTGAAACTTCAAAGCAATAATGTAAAAGCAACTCAAACTATTAAAGTCAATTTATTAACCAAATTGAGGATTATAAACAAAAGCCAGTGTTTGAATATTGCATGTATATGGGCTGAGTGCTATAAATCAACAAAAAAAGATCTTCAGAAAATCAATTTTTTGTTATAACAAGGTTTAAGGATATAATATTAAGGGAGTTAAGAACTACAATATGTATAAAGATATATTATAAAGTTATTTAGTAAATAATATGATTATATTAAGAATTTGGTTTTTATAATTAATACAAGTGGATTTATTTAATATATAGTTGTATAATTATAATGTATTGATTGTGTTCTTGTGACTTTTTTATTATAAGGATGCAGAGTAGTATAGGTAAATTAACAAATGGAAGTTTCTATTTGTATTTGCTGTATTGTATTTATTTTTTTATTTTATTTTTTTTTAGATTTTTTCTGGTATGATGAGTCAAAGAATATTATTGGTTTGATTAGATGACTTTATTATTAAAATGAAGGGGGAAAATATAGAGGATTTTTGTTATTATGTGTTTTATTGTTAGGTATAGTTAATAAACTCAATGGTCATTAGTTAAGGTAAAGATTTAATTTTATCTTATTATATTATAGTTTAAATGCAGTAGTTAATCATTCTTATCTTACACTGTAATGGTAAAATTATATACGAAATAAGAAAGAAAGATTTATATAGTAAATATAGAGAAAACTGTATATATAGACATAATGAAAACTGTTCATATCTGTATATAGTAAAATGAATATGCTTTAAGGCTAAGTAATGAACAACGAACTTTGCATTGCCATTGCCGTTGTGAATCATCATTGTAGTTGTGGAGAATAAAAATATCTGGTTCTAATAGTTGACGCCACTAAACATACTCATGTGTTATGTTTTTGTTGTATATGTAACAATGGGGAAATGTGGGCGAGACAAAAAGTCAGCCTTTATAAGGTAACGATAGCAAAAGAAAGGTAATTTGTCTTTATATGAATTAAGATTTTAACGCTAGATTTCCTTGGTTCAGTAAGGAGTATTTTCATGCGTGAGGCATATGATTTATTGCTTATCTCTACCATTTAATTCTGGGTTTGTACGCTTTAACGTTCTTGATTGGTCGTATCTAAAAAATGTGACCTTAATGTGGGAAACTTACATTGATAACAATGACGTAAGAAAATTATGATGATTCGAGTAATTATTACAACTTTCCAATGATCATTAATGTCGTCATGAATCGATTATTTATGTAAAATCGAGTTGATGCAGTTATGACATTTTATAACACTGTTGTCACCTATTTATGATTTTTAAATCAACTTTCACGTGTTAATTATGAATAACGTTAATAAAATGCAGTCCTGTATATTACGGAATAATAAATTTTGTAACATAATTTTTACAATAACCAGTAACAGAATTTTACGACCTTAACTGCATACTAATACTATGTGTACTGGAATATCAAGTAGGGTTTTGTATCAGAATTTTTTACAGTAATACTAATGCAAGTTAACTCAACTTTAACTACATACTATGATCTCTGAGATAGTAAGATCCATAACAGTGTTTTTACATCAGCTCAGTAAAAATCATGATAATCCCAATGTATACAGTTGTCATCAAAATAGTAAGTTCTGTAATGCTTAATAGAAATCTAATACGAACTTAACTTTTAACTAGGATTTGTACCAGAATTGTTTACAGTAACTTACAATAAAAATCATGATCTCATACAAACTAACTCACATACTATATATCACCGAAATAGCAGGTTTTGTTACAGTAACTCAGTAGCAATCATGCAATTTCAATTCACTAACTCAACCTTAACCACATACTTTATATCACCGGATTGAGAAAATTCTTACCAGAATTTTTACGATAATTCACAAGAAATCAAGATAATTTTAATGCAATTAAGTCAACCTTACGACAATTCCAATGCAAACTAACACAACCTTAATTAGATACTGCGTTCGCCAGAATAGAAGGTATGTTCCATACAGTTACTCACGATAGAAATTACGATAATTCCAATACAAGCTAACTCAACCTTAATTACATACTATGTAACAGAATTTTTACAATAGCTCAATAGAAATCTTTATAACTCAATTCTGGATTTGTGAGTTTAAAAGTTTTAACCGGTTGAAGTATTCAAGATACGCAAATAACTTTATTTTTATTTATTCTAACTTAGTACGTGTATGAATCTAATGATTATTTATTAACTGAAGTTATGATTTATTCAGTTTTTTATTGCCATTGATTTGATTTAATTTAAGACATTATTATAAAGAAAAGTTCAAGAAATAAATATTGCTATTAGGAATCAACTTAATATTTCCATTAGCGGTAACACTACTTTCAAGATAACCATCCTTTTGAAAGTTAAGGGTAGCCTAATTTAGAGTAAAAGTTATGTATAACTATTCTATTAATATTATTTAACCCACACTTAATGAAAATTATGGATTCCTGATCAAGCGATTAAAATTTTATAGAACCGTGGCGGAGCCACGTGTAGAATACTAATTTATTGTTATTTTCCTAGTATTCATTGTAATTCAATTGATAATCATACAGGATGCAATTATAATATTACGTGAAGTTACTTGCATTTAATAATAAACTTAACGTCAACAATTAATATGATCTATATTTAAAGTCATTTGTTATTTCGTGACGAGCTTTTATGTACGCACAATAGATTGTTATATACGTACAATACCGATACTATATCGATATACAAAAATGTTAGAATAAACAATTTCCTTTTTGGATAAAATGGGCAATGTGGAGGCTCACGAGGATACACCAAAATATTAATTGGCAAACCAAAATTCACAATTTTAAGATAAACCCGAACAAATATAGAAATAACCAGAAATAACCAGAAAATATACATCAAATAAAATGTTACTCACTAAATAATGTAAATAAAATAATTAATTTAGTAAACATCCATAAACTTGATGGCTTACTTTAAATAGTTTAATAAATATTCTTTATACGCACCGACTAATTAACACAATATAATGAAATTAAATAGTAAACATCCATGAACTTATTAAATACTTAGCCAATAAATTTCTTTATACTTACCGACTAATTAACACAATAAAATAAAATTAAATAAATTAAATAGTATATATTTATAAACTTGAATAGCTTATGTTAAATACTGAGTTTAATAAATGTCTCTGTACTTACGAACTAAATTAACCCGAATAAAATAAATTTAAATAGTAAATAACCATAGCTTATTTGAAATTCTTATGTTAATTAATATTCTTTATACTCACAATCTAGAATAAATTAAATTTTAAATATTTATAAACTTAAAAAATAAATTATTTTATTAAATATTTTTTTATACTCACATTCTAAATGAAATTAAACATTAAATTTTCATAATTTGAATAAATTACTTTAAAATCTAGTCTCACTTAGTATAGGTGACCCTGCACTAAATCAATTAACAATCTATTTGATTAAGCGATCACCTGTACTAAATGAGATACAAAATACTTTGTTCTTTATACTCACGGACTAAATCAACAGTTAAAATAATTTGAGTTATATTATTTAAATGAAAAATATTATAAGCTATTGCAAATAAAATGTCGTTTATACTTACTCCCTAAAGAATTAAATAGTTATAATAATGTTTATTGTCAAGATGTAAATTCAAATACACATATAAACAAGAACTTACTTTTTAATCCAACTATAGTATTCAGCTTCATTCCTTTCTTTACCAATTCCGTAATAGTAACAAATGGCAGTTTTAAAAATTCCCATAGAATTACCCAACTCGGCTGATTTTAGATAATGATCAAATGCTTTATACTTATCTCTTTCAGTTCCAATTCCTAAATAATAACAATAACCAACGTGATAGACTCCGTTAGGATTATCCATCTCCGCAGATTTTTGATAATTAATGAATGCCCTATTCTGATCCACTTCAACTTCAATCCCATGTTCGTAACGATAACCAAACCAAAGTATGTCAGCTGATGTAATCTCATCAGAAATATGTATTCCACCTGACTGCATTCTTAATAAAGCATTTGAAACCATCTCAGTATCAATGACTCTAGATGTATATATGGGTTCACGAAATATTGGATCTAATAACTTTGTTTTACTCCAATTCGAAAATCCGTTCTTAATTTTATGTTCCTCTTCGTTTAAACATTTAGTGTCGAAATCGAAAATATGATACCAACTAAATAAATTTTGGCAAATTTCTCCAGCACTTGGTCGTTTTGTTGGATCTTCATCGATACACTGTTTTGCCAATTTAATATAGAAATCAGGTGTTCCTTCACCAAATTCTGGTCGTAAGCCTATACATATCTTCGCTGCCAATTCATAATCATTTTCATAATTGACAATTTTAGAATAAGGTGGGATTCCGGTGGAAACTTCAGTTAATATAATACCAAAACTATAAATGTCTGCAGCTGTCGTATATTCACCGCCTAATAAAATCTCAGGAGCAATATAGGGAAGTACTCCATAAATTTCTCCTCCAGATGCTTTATATTCAATTTGATTAGATAGACCGAAGTCAGAGATATATAGTTTTATATCTGTAGCAGCATTGGTCTTTACTAGAAGTATATTGCCACTGTGTAAATTTTTGTGCACATATCCCATATTATGAATTTTACTTAAATTGTACGCAGCTAAAAAAAGATGTTTTAACTTGTCCTTCCAAGTAAGATTCCCAAAATTGTTTTCTAGATATTGCCAAAGATTTCCTCCATCTGCGTATTGACATACCATAAAATATTCATCTGTTTTTGTGGAATAGGTTATCCCATATATTTCAGAAAAGTCATTTTGATTTCCAAATTTTACGAAAGTTTTAAACTAAATAATGAAAATAATAAAAATAAGGTATAATAAAATAAAGGATGATAAACGAATAACATATTTCAACATTACCTCTTTAGAAATATCTTTATTAACCTCCTTAATACTGGGTTTAAGAGCAACCTTGCATTTTTCACGCACAAGTTTATTATTTTCTTTAGAACGTATTCGCTTTCCATCTGACCAAATTGCAGAATAAACAGTACCGAAACCACCTTGGCCAATTTCCTTAATATCTTCTAATTTCTCGTAAGGAATCCATTCGACCACTTTGTCACAATATTTTGCCTTTAGCTGCATTTCTTTTATACAACAATTGAGTTTTTTATCTTTACTTGCACACCCTTTGCCTATTTCCCATTTTTCATGTATTTTATGTTCAATTTCGTCTATAGAATTGTAATAAATATTAGTTAAAGCTTCAAGAACTTTGTCCATTTCTGGTCGCTTAGCAGGTTCCTCGTTCCAACATTTCTTGTAAAGTTCAATATATCGAGATGGTATGCCTTTCTCTATAGGTTTCTCTCGATTTCCTTGCCGAATATGATCAGCAAGTGATTCTCTCGAGATAGATTTGAATGGTGGTTTTCCGCTTGAGATTTCCCAGAGAACAACTCCCAAGCTATAGACGTCAGATTTTTGTGTAAGATTATATCCAGATTCAATTTTTAAGCATTGAGGTTCGGTATATGCTATTAAATCTAAATCTAATAAACTCTCATCAATTGATGATTTGAATAATCCAAAGTCTGCAATCTTGATTTCTCCTTTGTGAACCAATATACTTTTGGGATTCTAAATTATAATTAGAATTATTAAAACAAGAACATTATATAAATATAAATAAGCATAAATATGCTTACAATGTCTTGGTGAACGATGCCTTTTTTATGTAAAAACATCAGACCATTAGATATTTCCATTGCAATACGTGATTTATCTATCCATCTTAATCTTAAAAAATTTTCATTCAAATATTCACGTAAATTTCCATCATTAGCAAATAGTCGAACTACACTATACCACCATTTGTGTTCTATAAATTTTGTGTAAATAATATTAATATTAAAGATGCAAATGCTAAGGGCTAATCAGCCAAAAAAAGTTTAGAATACATTCCTTTAGTAGTTCCTTTAGCAATCCCATAAAAGTTGATAATATTATCATGAAAACCAACTTTTTGTAATTGTTGAATCTGTACGGTTTATCGATATAATAAGTGTTAAATAAATTGATAATCATATGTTTAACATTTGGCATTATATAAAATGATAATACTTCAGTAATTAACTCTTGAAAAGCCCTAATATTCTGCATAGTATTTTTGATCTTATCACCTTGGATAGTATCAATTTCGGTCTTATTATTCCGGATAATATCAATTTCTACACTTTTATGAACAACTGCAAAATTTCTTTTCCTCCATTTTGATTTATACACTATCATTCCAAATCTACTTTCTCCGATTTTCCTAAAGTCACAAAATTCATCATACTCATAAAAACAGTTTTTTGTTTTTAGTTTGTAAATTTCATTATCAATCTGTTTTAAATATGTTCCCATGGTATATTGTTAAAAGAAAAAAGAGCATGTAAGTACGTACGTACGGTGCAGGAATTTAAAAACCTCAATCTCCATTTTAAGATGATGCATGAACTAGTAGCTCACTGAGAATAAATTTCAATCTCAATAGGGTGATGGACATAGAAATAATACGCCAAGAATAATATGTACTTAATAAGAGCTGTTTTATGCATACAGCTGAAACTTAAAATAAGCCGCTACTGAATTTAGCTTAACTTAAATGTACTGGTCGTTTTTTGTTCTATATAAAGTGATTGAGGTTTTTAGATTCCTGCACCGCACAGATTAATAAAAAATATATCCGTACTACGTATTACATATCGCTAATTTTGTCAACTCTGCGTTAACGATAAAAAAAAATAAAATGCCGTGATTAGTGATGCAGGGGAATTAATGGAACTAATTCTAAACGTATAGAAATACGGTACCCTTATGTCAAGAAATCCAGATCCGCCAACCAAAAAAATATGGGTCCGTAGTATCTTAAAAATTTCTTATATATTTAACATTAAAATTGTCTTATGACTAAAATTTTATGCTGAAAACTTTTATTTAGAGGTCGGAAGTTAGTTGTTATAGTAAATTTTTGTGCTGTTTACAATTTTATTGGATCCGGACAAACAATTTTGGAGTCGGAAATGATTTTTAGTCCAGGATTTTCTTGACATGAGGGTACCCGTAGAAATACGTCCACGATGCAGTAAAATTGATGATCTATAATTTTTACTAGTCGAATTACGTAATTTCTACATTCCACAAGTGAAGTGTAGAATTATAGAATTGATGATAATTAATACGTAATTTAGTATGATCTGTGTTTTACATTACCCCTCTTCCGGGGGATTGTGGTTTATATAGTAAAATTTACAAAAAACATTCCGAATTGTTCTGTGACTATATAAAATTTTCCGAAATAGCCTGAAGCCCTATATATATTTATCAAAATTTTTTTTACTATGAGGGAGAGGGGGACGCTGGGAGGTAATGTAAAACACTGAATTTAATTGGTCTGGCCTAATTGACTGTGACAAAGCGCAGAGTCTACGAACTATTGTTGCAGATAGTATCATGTGAGTAAAATTACCAATATTCGCCTGCCCTAACACTAATGTTAACTAATTCTGGACATGGTATAGTAGACGAAGCGCACATAGATTTAAATTTGAGCATATATCAGCGCTCTCCATATATATAAAACGCACATAAATTTCTCTTTTGTGAATATTTTTGTGTTTGCGCCAATAAAAATTTTTGAATTTATACCATTGATTGGGGGTCACTATTTAAATCTATAATACCTACTAAAATTCATTTATACCTTTATTAATAAAACTAACTCTAAACCCTAACCTAACTCTAAAAAAAAAGTCGACAAAGAAGGCCCTAAAAATTTTTAAAGATCTCAGCTTCAGCTGCCACATTTTCTTTTCTTAACTTGCAGAATCTGCATGAATTTGAAGCCTAACATATGTATTAATAAAAACGTCGAGAGTGCACTTTTACCTATAACAACCTTTTTAATCTTCAAATAAACACTAAATCTAAAATTTATATACTTAGGCCGTTCAAAGTTGATTAATTGGTTAACGTCATCCCCTCTCGGGTAACTGTCCCCCGAAAATTAAATAAGCCAATCAAGCACAGCATAAACTTAATATTAGAATGATTACATGAGATGAGTATTATTATATCTAGTGGAATGTATGAGTGAATTATTTGGGTTAGAGCCAGGCTCTAGTTTGCCACATAGCTTTGTTTTAAAAATGGTTATTATCTTAATGTTCGTTATGTATTGGAGATTAAAATCGTGAATGTAAATAAATGGCAATTCTTGAATGTATGCCAAATTTTATGCAGACAAAATTTGTTTACACTAGATTGTGTATATAAAGTTTGGCGTTAGCAACGTATATAGTAAATTGCTCAAAAAAAAAAGCTCGCTTCTTTATGCCGATTTTTGAGAAATAAGCATTTTTGATACCTGATCTTGAAACCCAATTCGTAGTAAGACACTAAAAATTAAATTCGTAATTTATTGGTCGATATGCAGATTGTTTATCATGTGATCGACCTGCGATATCGCGAGTTGCGAAGTTTAACAAAATCCTAAATCTATAATACCTACTAAAATTCATTAAACTCTATATTAATAAAACTAACCCTAAACCCTAATCTAACTCTAAAAAAAAGCTGATAATAAAAGCCCTAAAAATTTTTAAAAATCTCAGCTTCAGCTGCCACATTTTATTTTCTTAATTTGTAGAATCTGCATGAATTAACCAATCAACTCGTAAATCTTTTATAAAACGAAATTTAAGTCTAACCTATGTATTAATAGAGATGTCGAGAGTGCACTTTTACCTAGAACAACTTTCTAATCTTCAAATCAACGCTAACTCTAAATTTTATATACTTCGTGTTAGACGCTTTTCTAAATAAGGCAATTGAAAAGGGTTGGTAATTAGTTCCCTCTTTTGTCTTTGCTAACTTTATCGTAAATGCCCGCACACCTATCCACCGCGAGGACGATGAAAAAAGCCGAGAAAGAAAGGAGTTGTATTTTGATTAATGTCGCTCAAGTGCCCGACGGTCGTTTTTCCGACAAGCAATCTAACCATGACACGCAGGGTGATAAGCATTCGTTAGTTGCGGTTACTATTGTTTAGTGAATTTTCACGCAATGTGATGTCGTTTAAGTGGCTTGTCGGGAAATGACTATCGGTAAATTGATTGATTAGTTTTCGATAGTCCGGTAAGAATTTGGTAGCCTGACTGAACAAGTCGGATATCAAAGGAAGGAATAAATGAAGTAAATAGACACAATGCTAGGAAACCAGCTGTAGACCATGTGAGCAGTTGAGGCGAGATTTTCTTAATATTTTTGTATAATCGAGTTATAAATCAATTGAAAATTAGTCCAGGAATATTTCAATTAATAGGTGGCCGCGATTTCATTACCAAAATTTTAGTAAATTTGGCCTAAATGTTTGATCATAGTAGTTAGCCAATCAAAATCACGAATTTGCTGCGCATTTTTTGTGTGGCACCTAGGATCAAATTTCCAGGATTCAGCTCATAAGACGACTTTCATATGATTGGTTGTTTAAGTTACATTATTTATACAGTTTAAAGTACTTTTCAAAAATGAAGCCTACAAAAATAAATGAAAAAAGTACATAGGAGGTATATTAGTGTTGTAGGACTCCACTATTGAAAATGATCAAAATTCCTTTTTGCTTTAGTGAAATTAGTATTATAATAACTTCTTAAAAATAGATCGAACAAGATTATTATTATGCTAACTTCTCTAAAACAAAATGTTGTTTTGATCATTTTCAAAAGTGGAGTCCTACAACACTAATAATACCTCCTATGCACTTTTTTCATTTATTTTTTGTAGTTTTATTTTTTTTTTGAAAAGTACTTTAAACTGTATAAATAATGTAAAATTAAATTGACTTAAACAACAATCATATTAAAGTCGTCTATGAGAATTCAGCAATATAGTTATTTGGCAGCTTACTTAATCATTGCCAAATAATTCGGATTATTTGGTAAGCATTATCATAGTAAGCTGCCGAATAACAACAATCATCTAAGAAATTCGATGACCTTTTTTTTTTTTTAATTCTAGAGATCTTTTAGGATTAAAACAAAAAAATTTCTATCAAATTTGTTTAGGTAATTATCGAGTTATGTAGTATTAGTATATGAATCCTTGGGATCGGGATCCCTGAGGCTTTAAACGGAGGTTGTGTGCCAAATAATAACACAGCCAATGATTAGTACAATTTCGTACCATAGAATATTAAAAAAGAATTCCAATTAAAGATCTTTACCAAAAAGAGAAATGATCTGCGTTATACGCAGTAATACTCCGGATAAATAATCTTTACTGTAACCATGTAAAAGTTTCAGAAATTTTCCGCAACCCTATATATTATATGTGCCAATTTTTTTACTAAGAGGTGAAGAGAGAGGAGGGGTAATGCAAACCACCCAATCAAATTGGTCTGGGTTAACTAAAATTCGATAAGGAAATGTAAACAAATGAAAACATATATTTCGAACCGTTATTATCACTAAGTTACAACGAAACAATGCACAATGTTAAATCCGAAAGGCTAGGAACATTTCTTGTTGATATAATAAAATCGTTTATTATTTGACACAATAATGGTAAATGCAAAAATGCGAATCCTATAACTGCTCCAAATATTTGGTTTTATATTAAATAATTGACATTGTCAAAATTGTTGGTCATTTGCTCTTCATATTATCAAATAATCCGCTCTGCTTTACTTGTAGCTAGGGTTGGGGGCACGGGAAAATTTTTTACATGTATAAATTTTTTTGAAAAAGGGTATGCCCAGGAGGCATGCCCGAAAGGCATGCCTCGTGCCCCGTGCCCCAACCCTATTTGTAGCTAACTGTAGGTTCTTGGACAAGTTTATAAATTTATTAATATCTTTAGAGTCCTAGCAACTGTACAAAGCAACTGTACTAAAAAGGGGTGCTTGTATCGCTTTATTAATTAGCAACCGATATAAAGAGTCCCTTCTTTAATCATGATAGTCCCCGATAAACGAAAGGTTACAACTATTTTTTGTCACACATATTTTATTCCGATGAAGCTCAAACCTATATAAACAACCTTCTTATCGTTCAATGCGCTTACTATTTTGTATTTCATAAATTTCTAATTAAGTGGACAAAAATCTACGCAACAACAATTTATTTGTATATTATATGAGCTTCATATGCCAAGATTACTTACATTATTTAAGTATTTAATATTTTAAATGATGTCTTCTCAACAACTACGCAATCACGTAACTGTAGCATGCACTGAATGCCGGAAAAGCAAAACAAAATGCACTGGAGAAGCACCCTGCGAAAATTGCAGAAAACGCAATCATGAATGCATTTTTACTCCAGGCGGAAAACGTGGTCCTAAACCTAAAGATAAAGTGACCAGTCAAGAATATGATCTTCCTTCGGATATAGATAATTCTACGCCTTATAATCTAACTCAAGCTTATTGTAACGACATTGTTGAAGGGGGGAATTGCTTTTCTCAAACACATGGTCAAGAATATGATCCTCCTTTGGATATAGATAATTCTACGCCTCATAATCTAACTCAAGCTTATTGTAACAACACTGTTAAAGGGGGGAATTGCTTTTCTCAAACACATGGTCAAGAATATGATCCTCCTTCGGATATAGATAATTCTACGCCTTATAATCTAACTCAAGCTTATTATAACGACACTGTTAAAGGGGGGAATTGCTTTTCTCAAACGCACGGTCAAGAATATGATCCTTCTTCGGATATAAATAATTCTACGCCTTATAATCTAACTCAAGCTTATTGTAACGACACTGTTAAAGGGGGGAATTGCTTTTCTCAAACACACGGTCAAGAATATGATCCTTCTTCGGATATAAATAATTCTACGCCTTATAATCTAACTCAAGCTTATTGTAACGA